AGATATCATTGTAAAAGATACCACTGATGACATCCTAGCAAAAGGTTGTGCTCTATGTAGACTGGAACATGAAGTCGACATGTCTACTACACAAAGGTCAGGTAGTATATAAGTTGAATTGTGTTCCTCAAACTTCATATATTTTGAAGTCCGAACTCCCAATACCTCAGAAGTGACCTTATTTGGAAATAGAGCCTTTACAGAGGTAATCAAGTTAAAACTAGGTCAGTGGGTTGGCTGTAATACAAAAAAACTTGTATCCTTATACAAAGGGGAAATCTGGGCACAGAGACACCCACAGAGGGAAGACTATGTGAAGAGACACAGCCAAGGAGAGAGACCTGGAATAGGCCCTTCCCTCACAGCCATCAGAAGGACCCAACCCTGCCAACCCCTTGATCCTGGACTCCTAGTCTCTAGAACTGTGCGACAATAACTTTCTGATGTTTAAGTTACCCACTTTGTGGTACTTTATTATGACAACCCGAGTGAAGTAAAACAGCTATTTCAAAAGGAAGGTATTACCAAAGGAGTCAATGAAGAATGTAGAAAGAACATTCATGGGCCAAGTTACAATATCGTGTTTTTTTTGCTTAATAGTTCTAAGTATTTAGTTCTGGAGTCTGGAAGAAAATATGTAATGGTTATGGCAACTAAAATTTATTGGACCCTTACTATGAGCCAGAATCCTATTAAGGGCTGTTTTACATGATATCTAAGAACAATTAAATAAGGGATGTATTTTTAGCCCCATTTACTAGATGAGGATACAAACTTGCAAAGTTTCTGGTCACTGCAATCATGACAGTTTCCACCGTGTGCATGTTCCCACATTCTTTGTGGAAACAGGACGGTGGTGACAGGATGTCCTAGAACCACCGCAGCAGCAGCTGAGTACCACTTTTAGAGCATGGGTCCTGCTTCACATTAGGAAAGCAAGAACAGCTCTTCAAAGCAATTTTTGGTTCACATGTAATCCTCAGACAAAGGAGGAGGGTGCCAGAAAAAGGAGTAGAAGCAGGAATCCTGTACCAGAATTTAAGAAGGGCCTGCTTTCCCTTTGTCTAATTAGCTCTGGCTAATAGGAAAGATGACAGACCCTACAGGAGGAAGGGTAAGTTTGGGCAGGGCACAAGGCTTCCATATGAAATGAAAAGGAAGAGCTGACTCTTCATATCTACACCTTTTTAAGTTATAATGCCCTCTTCCTACCTCTGTCTTCGTTTCTTTAGCCTTCCCTTCTGCAAGCAAGAAACTAAATAAAAAAACGTAACACACACACACACACACACACACACACACACACACACACACAGCTCCTGGTTTTCCTTTGTATTCCATTAAGAAGATATTAACATTAATTTCACTGAGTTCCACCTGATCCAGGAAATGCCCTTCTAACTTGTTGGTCCACTTACTCCAGTTCTTCTGCATCTTAATTCCACAGGCTCTGGTCATTATTTTTTTCCAGAACCCAAATTTGGCCAGGCTACTCTGTGTTGCTCAAACGCCTCTAATGACATCTCACTGACTAAATCTTTGGCATGCATGTGAGGATCCTTGCATTCTACTTCCAACCTGCCTCCTCAGATCCTCTGCCTCCAATCAGACCTCGCTCCGCTCCAGGCCCCAGCTACACCAGGATGTCTGCTGTTCCCCAAGAACATGCGATTTACTTTGCTAATCCAGTGACTCTCTCAAGCTGTTTCCCAGGACACCACGCCTCTGTTTTTCACCTGGGGAACTAACATTTCTCAAGACCCGCCTTAGATTTATCCTGTGAAGTCACTTTCAATGCCACCCTTTCTTGACCTTCCCTCTCCAGCCCCCACCCTCATCCATGGTAAAATTAACCAATTCTTCCTCTAAAGTCTCGTAACATTTTGTACACCCTTTTCTTAAAAGATGTCCAAATACCCTGCAACTTTTTAAAAAATACACCCTAACTGGTTTGGCTCAGTAGATAGAGCATCAGCCTGCGGACTCAAGGGTCCCAGGTTTGATTCCGGTCAAGGGCATGTACCTTGGTTTCGGGCACATACCCAGTGGGGAGTGTGCAGGAGGCAGCTGATCATGTTTCTCTCTCATTGATGTTTCTAACTCTCTATCCCTTTCCCTTCCTCTCTGAAAAAAATCAATAAAATATATTTTAAAAAATTAAAAAAATAAAAATTAAAAATATGTTTTCACTCCCAATGGACAAGAAAAGAGAGAGATGTTTTCCTGATCTTTTTCCTGCCCTCGCATCCAAAGCCTAGCACACTCTAGAGTGGGAAGTCCTGAAGCCTTCCACTCCCATTCAGTGAACAGAACCAGACTGGGTCAGACACTTAACTTCTGAGTTTGTTTCTTCATTTACAACATGATGAGATCTTCACTCCTCTGCCTATTTTACGGAGTAGCTGTGGAGAGCAACTAGGCTAAATGTGTGGAAAAGTACACTGGAAATGAAACAGCACTGGCTGGGTACAAAGTGTTACTGTTCTTTAGCAGAGAAGCCATTTTTATCCTCTGTTGTGGTACACGGAATGAAGTTATCATTCTACATGTTATCAAGGCAGTTGGAGGGCTGAGAGGGGCCAGAGCACTGAGGCTTGGGCAAAGAACACCAAGTCAAACACGTGGACATGTTATCTCCACTCAGCCAAGCCAGGGCCACTCCTGTCACACTCCGTCCAATCAACCTCCAGATTCCAGGTGGATCCTCTAAGGCAGCGGTTCTCAACCTGTGGGTCACGACCCCTTTGGGGGTCAAACGACCCTTTCACAGGGGGCACGTAAGACCATCGGAAAACACATATATAGTTACATATTGTTTTTGTGATTAATCACTATGCTTTAATTATGTTCAATTTGTAACAATGAAATTGAGGGTCACCACAACATGAGGAACTGTATTAAAGGGTCGCGGCATTAGGAAGGTTGAGAACCACTGCTCTGGTGGTTTTTTCATTTTGAGTCTGGGCCATTATCTATGCAGCAGTCGCCAACTGGTGGTCAGTAAGGTCCGAAAGGTTGGTGACCGCTGATCTATAGACTCTAACACCGTGGAAAAGGCTTTGATTAGAAGGACCTAGTCAAGATTAATCAGAATTTTTCCATGGCACAAACATTGCCTCTAGATGCCACAAGAAATTCAAGTCAGAAAAGGGAATTTAAATGGACCACGTTTCCTTTACTGTCTTAACCAGGACCTTTTGCAGTAACATTAAAATCTCAGTTATGCAGTGCAGCCCTTTTTTTTTCAGCTGCAGAAACCAAATAAAGGTTAATCAAACTACCTGGAAGCAAAGAAGGTCAATTATATTTAGGTGAGTTACCTCCCAAGATGATGTTCTTTCTGACTGGATCTTCTTTTTCCGGCATCAAATATTCTATAAGAAGTCTTCTGTTGGCTAAAGTTCTCTACTTCATCTTTGCTATATGCAAATCTTTACATTTTATATATTGTAAAATTAAATAATTCAAAAGGTTTTTTAAAATGAAGAATTCATAAGGATATGAAAATGTCTCACCTCCTTGGGGAAAAAGGGTCCAAGGATGGAATAGGACATCATACAGCCTAAGTTCATGGAAGCTGCCGATATCAGGACAAAAAGCTGTTCTCTCGAAAGCCGGTTGGGTGTCTCTCTTGCACTTGCTGCAGGGTCATCACCTTAAATGCAAACACACTGCAATTACAGGCATGTACTACTGATTAAAGTACACAAATGTCACTCCGTGCACAGACTATGTACTCGGAAGATAGTAGTTACTGAGCTAAGGGCTATTTTCAATATAGCACATGTGACCACATGTAACACAATCCTTGTACATTACTGCAATTTTGAAACCATATCACTTTAGTTGACACAGTATTCCTGTTAGAATTTCAGTACCGAATTTATCAAACCATCTGCTCTGTTTTGCCTTCACCATAAGGCCTATTTCTTTCACCTCAAATAAATTCAAGAAGGATCAGGGAACAAGTACCCTTCAAAGGGTACTGCTCTCAAGTATAATATGATTTCTCCAGCTCCTAGCTTCACTTGTTACATGAACTCAATGTTTCAGGCATGTCAGGTTAGCTGTTTATTAAGCATTCATTGTAGGGCAGTACTGACGTTAAGTGAAGAGTAAGGAGAAAACAAACAAAAAAATTCAATTGGCAAATTACAATGGGACACTCCTGGATAAGCCAAATCCCACCGATCTGTAAATCACTACTGTTTTTTCACAGCAATTACTGACCTTTCACAGTGATTAATACTTACTCCAAGGACTAAATTTTCATTCAACTAAAGACACCAGGTCAATTACTCAGTTTCAAACACCCACCCAGCAAATCTACCAGCCATTTTTAAATTAAATGGTTTGGAGGGAAAAAGGAAAAAGAAACTAAAGTAAGAAAAACATGTTTGGTTTGCTCAATTTTTCAGTGTGTCTTTGCGGCGCAGGAGGAAAAAATCTGTGCCGCATGAGGAAGTCTTAGGAATCTTTGTAAAATGTTTGTAGTGGCTGAGAAAGGGAACTGAGAGAAAGTTAAGAAGTTGGGAACAACAGCGGGGCCTCCACACGTAATGCTTTCTTAGCAGAATGCACTGGTGAACGCGGCCGGTAAACGCGAGCCAGAGAGAAGCAAGCAGAGACCACACCAGCTCCAGTGCCCGAACTGGAACCCCTTCCAAGCGGGTTAAAGTTCGCAGTCCGAACCCTACAGCCAGGTCCCAGCTTTCCCCACTGTCTCAGCAACAAACCCAGCTAATTCAAGTGAAAGAGACCAGCCCCAAGCCTCCGAGGCGCGCCCGGGTCGCGCTGCTCTCCGTCACCTGCTGGGGGCGGTGGGCCCTCCGGGTCCCCCGGCGCGTCCATGGGCGGTGCGCGGACTCCGGCGCCGCCGCTCCCGGGTCCCAGCGCTGCTCCTGCTCCCGGGAGAGGACCAGCGGACGCCCGGGAGGCGGGCGGGGACGGCTCAGCGGTGCCGGGCATCCCGATCGCCCGCCAGTAGCCTTGCCCGCAGCTCCTAGCAGCCTCTCCTGGAGGCGGGGCAGGGCCTTTCTTTTTATTTAAAGACACAGGCTATTATCATACTCCACCATCTGGGATATGCTGCACTCTCTCGTTCTGTGTAAGAAAAAATACAAATAAAAATAAGACAAGGAGGACGAGTCTATAGTCCATATAGCGGAACCCCCTACCTTACAATCAGTAAAATGTATTTCTACTAAAAGTAAGAAAGGATGCTTATGTGGACACAGAAGATGGAGTTCCTCAACTGAAAGACACAAATGTGAATTGGAAAATTGGGCTCATGCGGACTCTTTTTATTTATTTATTTATTTATTTATTTATTTATTTATTATTTTTAAAAATATATTTTTATTGATTTCAGAGAGGAAGGAAGAGAGAGAGGGAAGCATCAATGATGAGAGAGAATCATTAATCCTCTGCCTCACCGAAACTGGTTTGGCTCAGTGGATAGAGCATCGGCCTGCAGACTGAAAGGTCCCAGGTTCGATTCCGGTCAAGGGCACGTACCTGGGTTGCGGGCACATCCCCAGTGGGAGATGTGCAGGAGGCAGCTGGTCGATGTTTCTCTCTCATCGATGTTTCTGACTCTCTATCTCTCTCCCTTCCTCTCTGTAAAAAATCAATAAAATATTGATTATATTAAAAAAAAAAAAAAAGAAAGAAATCCTCTGCCTCCTGCAGTCCCCCTCCTGGGGATCAGAGCCCACAACCCAGGCATGTGCCCTGACCAGGAATCCAATCATGACCTCCTGGTTCATAGGTACACGCTCAACCACTGAACCATGCAGGCCATGCCGGACTCTTTTTAAAAGTGGGTCATTTTACACAATGGGTAAATGGTGTAGTGATACAATCACGGAAGCCAGAGATTAGTAAACTGGAAATGAATGAACTGATGTGAAGTACAAAGAATGGAAAAAATGTTTGCAAAAGCTATAATGAATGTCGAGGAATCAGGGTGGAGTGGCTGGGAATAAGAACTTGGGGCCAAATGCCCGTTTCAATCCAGGGCACTTACTAGCTGTTTGTGACTTTGGGTGGCAAGGTCAGTTTCTCCACCTGTACAGTTGGGAATATAATGCTTATCTTGTAGGGCGGCTGTGAGCACTGGTGATAAGGTGTGGAGTGTTTGCTACATGAATGTGATGGTTGTTACCTTATACTCACCCTCAACTTTCTGGCACAAAAATAGAGGTGTCCAATATTTTCACTTTACCCACTGTTCCAAGATAAAACAAAGGACTATTGAGTTACCACCACTGTGACTTTAAAGATGAATGAGCCGCAACTGGCTTCTGCCCTCAAATAGCATACCTCCTTCCAGGACAGTGGTTCTCAACCTTCTGGCCCTTTAAATACAGTTCCTCATGTTGTGACCCCAACCATAAAATTATTTTCGTTGTTACTTCATAACTGTAATTTTGCTACTGTTATGAATCGTAATGTAAATATCTGATATGCAGGATGGTCTTAGGTGACCCCTGTGAAAGGGTCATTCGACCGTCAAAGGGGTCGAGACCCACAGGTTGAGAACTGCTGCTCTAGGAGATAAAACACTAATTAATTAATAATTTATTCTAATGCAATGAGTTCTATGATGTATATTTGAAGAACTGTTTACTTTGGCTAAATGAGTCCAGGATGGCTTCCTGAAGCTGTGATGATACCTTGGGTCTTGAAGATTATGTAAAAACTAGAGGCCCGGTGCACGAAATTATGGGGGGGGGGCAAGTCCCTCAACCAGGATTTCAAGAGGGCACAGGCCAGGCCAAGGGACCCCACTGGTGCACGATTGGGGCCAGGAAGGGACACGGGAGGTTGGCCAGCCAGGGAGGGACCACAGGAGGGCTCCAGAGCATGTCCGGCCCCTCTCACAACCTATTAGTCAGAGCATCTGGCCCCTGGTGGTCAGAGCACATCATAGTGAGCGGTTGAGCTGCCTTAGCATATCATTAGCATATTATGCTTTGATTGGTTGAATGGCCGACCAATGACCACACACTTAGCATATTAGGCTTTTATTATATAGGACTAGAGGGCCGGTGCACAAAAATTTGTGCACTCGGTGGGGGGGGAGGGGGGTCCCCCAGCCCGGCCTGTGCCCTCTCGCAGTCTGGGACCCCTCCGGAGATAACGACCTGCTGGCTTAGGCCTGCTCCTGGGTGGCAGAGGGCAGGCCCAATCCCTAAGTGCAGCCCTGGTCAGGTTCAGAGCAGGGCTGATTGGGGAGTTGGGCTCCGCCCCCTGTCATGCACAGAGCAGGGCCCATCAGGAGGTTGGGGAGCTCCCCCCTGTCATGCACAGAGCAGGGCCCATCAGGGGGTTGAGGAGCTACGCCCCTGTCACACACAGAGCAGGGCGGATCAGGAGGTTGGGGGCACTGCTCTCTATCACTCACAGAGCAGGGCCGATCAGAGGGTTGGGGCGCCGCCACTGTCACACTCAGGGCAGGGCCGATGGGGAGGTTATGGCTCTACCCCGTCACACACAGAGCAGGGCCCGTGGGGGGGGGGGGCGGGTTGGGGGGCCGCACCCTGTCACACACAGAGCAGGGCCCATCAGGGGGGTGGGGGGCCTTTCCCTGTCACGAAAAAAGCAGGGCGGATAGGGGAGGGTTGTGGGCCCACCCCCTGTAACCAACAGAGCTGCAGGGGGGATCAAGGGGTTTAGGGCGCTGCCCCCTGGTCAACCTTTATCCCGGGGGCTGGGAGGCAAATTACCCTTTTTACTTATAAAAGGAAAAAAAGCCTGGGGGGCCGGCTGTGTTTTGCCCCTGAAAGGTTGTCCCTGGATCCAGGGGGGGGGGTCCCCCCTTAGGGCCTCTTCCACCCGCCTAGATGAAGGGGATGACTGGCTGTTTTCCAGGTGTTCATATACCTCTTGAGGGTGGGGGTCCCCACTGGGTGCCTGGCCAGTCTGGGTGAGGGGCTGAGGGCTGCTTTCAGACTGGCAGTTGTTGACTGAAGCTCCCAACCGCTCCTTTTTTTCTCTTTTTTTATTTTATTCTGGGCCAGCTTTAGCTCTGGCTCTAGCTCTGAGGCTTCGTATCTGGTTTGTTTGCCGTTCTATAATCGAAACAATGTATAACTTCAGCTCTGAGATCCCGGCAGGCTGAAAGCTGGTTTCTGGGGTTTTGTTTAGCTTCTTATTTGCAACATAGTACATAGTTGCTTAGAGTTGCAACTCAGAGGCCGGCAAGTCAGGCGGGGAACGTTGCAGTCTGCAGTCACTGGAGTAAGCAAGCCTCATGTTCGCTTCTAGCTGCCTGGCTGCCGGCTGCCATCTTGGCTGACAGTTAATTTGCATAAGGATATGCTGATTAGCCAATGGGAAGGGTAGCGGTCGTACGCTAATTACCATGTTTCTCTTGTATTAGTGTAGATTCCTGGGCTGGTCAAAAGAGCCTTTACAGCCATTCTAAACCGAAGGATTAGCTCTAGCAAATGTGACCTTTCAGAATCTTTATGTAAAGTTCTCCACTTTCATTTTACTCTACCTTCTCTCTCCAATCTAAAATCAAACTGTACAGGAGAATTTCCTTGAATAATTTCTTTGATGTCTAGATTCCCTTTTTTTTTTCTCTTGTTCTGGACTGTTTTTTATGCAGATGTTGGGTCACCTAGACTGGCCCTCTAATTTATTACTCTTTTTCTAGTCTACTTTTCATCTCTTTCTCATTTAGTTCTATCTTATAGGAAGTTTCCCCAACTTTATCATCCAAATTTTCAACTGAATTTTTCATTTCTGTTGTCATCTCTTCCCCTCTATCTCCATTCCCAACAGCAATCATTCTTGCATGTTTAATACAAATCTTTTTGTTTGTATATATTTTCATAAAATTGACATTCTTGTTTTCTGTTCATTTATTTTTAATTTATATAAAGGATATTGACATATATATTCATATCCCTATCTTTCTCCCCACTTCTAATTTCTACTTCCGTCCCTCCCTCCAGATGATAAGAGTTATAGTTATAGTTGATGAGAGTTATAGATGAGAGTTTAGTTTTCTGTGGCTGCTGTAATAATTTACCACAAACTTGGTAGATTAAAACAATACAGAACTGAAGGCTAGAATTCAATATTAATTTCACTGAGCCAAAATCCAAAATGAAGTTCTCATCTCAATATCTCTAATTTAATCACATTTGCATGGATCCCTTTTCTAAAAAAGCTAACATTTGCATGTTCCAGAGATTGGGATGTGGACGTATCTTTGGGAGCTATGATCATCCTGACATGATGATCTATTCACATTGTTCTATCATCATCTTAGACATATATACACATATGGAACACTTTTCTTTTTCCAAACTAAAATGGAATAATATGGTCTCTGTTTAAATGCCACTTCCTCAGAGAAGTTCATTCTTATCCCTTTATCCAAAATATAGCCTCAGTCACCCTTTGTCCCTTCATCCTTCTTTATTTTTCTTCCTAGTATTTGTATCAGCCTGTTGCTAATAAAATTCCTGTTGCTAATAAAAGAAACAACTTTTGCCAATTTTAAGCAGAAAATAAATTTGTCATAGATTATTTGGTAGCACATAGAATCATCAGGAGGACTATACACACCACAAAGAGGCTACATGCCTAAAATCACACCGCAGAAGTGGTCCAGTACACAGACCTGGGCCCCACCACTGGACATCCATCTGTAGCCTGTGAGGCCAGTGGAGTTAAGCACAAGACATTGTAGTTAGAACCTTGTTCCCACTTCACTGAAATGCTGCCCCCTCACCAGAGGGATTTTAATTAGTACCAGCTTCTTCCATTCACTTGCATTCATCACATAAGTCAGGTAGCGAACATTCTCCAACTTTGTTCTTTTTTCAAAAGCAGTCTGAATATTCTGGGTCCTTTGAATTTCTGTAGAAATGCTAGAATCATCTCTCAATTTATCCAAGACACCTGGTGGGATTCTTATTGCGATTTTGTTGACTCTACAGATCAATTGAGGGAGAACTGACATCCAGTCAATATTGAGTTTTTAAATCAATGAACATGATCTATCTCTCCATGTATGTAGATATTCTTTAATTTCTTTCAGAAATGTTTTAGTTTTCATTGTAGATGTATTACATGCTTCATGCCAAATTTATTCCTAAATATCTTGGCTTTAGAATCCATTAAAATGGAGTTTTGACATTTAAATTTTTAAATCACTTGCTGATCCTATATAATAAAAGCCTAATATGCATATCAACTGAATGGTGGAACAACCGGTCACTATGATGCACACTGACCACCAGGGGGCAGATGCTCAATGCAGGAGCTGCCCCCTGGTGGTCAGTGCACTCCCATGGGGGAGCGCCGCTCAGCCAGAAGCCCTGAGCCAGGCTCACGGCTGGCAAGCGCAGTGGTGGTGACAGGAGCCTCTCCTGCCTCTGCAGCAGTGCTAAGGATGTCCCACCCAGGGGGAATGGGCCTAAGCCAGTGATGGCAAACCTTTTGAGCTCGGCGTGTCAGCATTTTGAAAAACCCTAACTTAACTCTGGTGCCATGCCACATATAGAAATTTTTTGATATTTGCAACCATAGTAAAACAAAGACATATTTTTGATATTTATTTTATATATTTAAATGCCATTTAACAAAGAAAAATCAACCAAAAAAATGAGTTCGTGTGTCACCTCTGACACGCGTGTCATAGGTTCGCCATCACTGGCCTAAGCCGTCAGTCAGACATCCCCTGAGGGCTCCCGGACTGCAAGAGGGGGCAGGCCGGGCTGAGGGCTCTCCCAAGTGCATGAATTTCATGCATCGGGCCTCCAGTTGAATATAAAAGTAAACTAATTTTATATTCATCTTGTATCCTCTTTTATAGTTTCTATTTTTCCTATTCATTCACTGAGAATTTTTAAAAATATTCTTGAGTAATCCTGCTGACACCTTAATGATAGGTTTCTTGCCTTCAGAACTGAGAAACAATACATCTCTGTTGTTTAATCCACCCAATTTTTGATCCTTATGGCAATCCCAGCAAACTAATACAACATGTATACTTAGATGAGAAACCCAAATTTCAACTGTTCCCTCTTTTTCTGCTTAACACTGCAATATTCTCTTTCTCCACCTATGCAACTTTTTTTTTGCACAATAAGGTAGAACCAGCTGTACTGACCAACATAAGATGTTGAGTTTTCCTTGAATTCTCAGTGCTCTCTTTCCAACATTTGGGTAATCATATATATATATATGTGTATACACACACACACACACACACACACACACACACACACACACCGAGTGGCCAGATTACTATGACCACCTGACGTTTGTAGGCAAATTAGCTATAATTTTGCTCTGAAGTTGCTAGAAGGCCAGATCATTATAAACGTTTGAATAGCACAACATACCTAAGTATCGTTGCTGATCAAGTTCATCCTATGATGTTGATGGTGTATCCCAATGGATATGGCTTCTTCCAACAAGACAATGCGCTATGCCACGGTGCTCGTATTGGGCAGGAGTGCTTTCAAGAACATGAGGGAGACTTTACCTTGCTTAGGTGGCCCCCACAATCACCAGATCTCAATCCAATTGAGCATTTGTGGGACGAAGTTAAAAGAGCCATCAGGCAGCTGGTTCCACAACCATCAAATCTCACAGAACTAGACAATGCTATTCATCAGGCATGGTGTCAGATTCCTCGCATCACCTTTCAACATCTCGTGGAGTCAATGCCAAGAAGAATCGCCGCAGTATTGAAGGCAAAAGGTGGCCCAACGAAGTACTTATGGGGTGGTCATAATAATCTGGCCAGTCATAATAACCTGGCAACTCAGTGTGTGTGTGTGTGTGTGTGTGTGTGTGTGTGTCACACACACACACACACACACACATATGGCTAATATGCAATGTCCCTCGGGAGTTCGACAGGGAGACCAGGAATGTGATTGCTCGCTATAATGTGTGCTGACCACCAGGGGGTGGTGTGGAATGAAGGAAGGCCCTGGCTGGCAGCCGGAAGGCCCCGATTGGCCCTGATCGCTGGCCAGGCCTAGAGACGCTACCCTTGCACAAATTTCTTGCACTGGGCCTCTAGTCCAAATATATGAAGGGTTAGAAGCATAGAAGCATGATCTTTGATGGCCACTGGGCTCAAATACCAGCTTTCACATTTACTGGCTATGAGACTTTGGGCAACTCTCTAGGCCTTGGCTTCTTTACTTGTTAAAGGGGACTAATACCAACACTACCACATAAGGTCTCAAAGATGACCAAGGAAGAAAAGCTATGACAATAATTTAGCACATTAACTGGTGCACAGAAACTGCTAAACAACATTGTTTACTATGATTTATTGTTCCTAAAACAAACTTTAGAATTTACTTTTTCATATGTATTTCAGATGCACACTTGTGCACATTATGTAGGTATTATAATCTGCTGGTATAAGACTGTCTCTAGCCATTAGTTTCTATTTAGTAGTGTTCCACCTTTGGCTATATCTAAAATTGAGAAGAGGTAACCTTAAACATGAACTAGGAGAATCTATATTGAAGAACCCTCAAACCACCAGAGTGCCCTTTAACTTCATTTGTGGGAATAGAACCAATTTTATAACTAGGATTTAAAAAAGAGAGAGAGAGAGAGAGAGAGAGAGAGAGAGAGAGAGAAAGAAAGAAAGAAAGAAAGAAAGAAAGAAAGAAAGAAAGAAAGAAAGAAAGAAAGAAAGAAAGAGAGAAAGAGTAGCTCCAGTTCTAAGAAGGGAGGTTTACAACTGATAGAAAAGATATTTATGCCCTAGCCGGTTTGGCTTGGTGGATAGAGTGTCAGCCTGCGGACTGAAGGGTCCCAGGTTCAATTCCTGTCAAGGGCACATGCCCAGGTTGCGGGCTCGATCCCCAGTGGAGGGTATGCAGGAGGCAGCCGATCAGTGATTATCTCTCATCATTGATGTTTCTATCTCTCTCTCCCTCTTCCCTCCTCTCTGAAATCAATAAAAATATATTTCAAAAAAAGATATTTATAAGGTGAAATGTCAAGGCATAGGCCTATGATACCTGAGTCTCAATAGATTACGAGCTGCCAGAAGATAGAACCCAACCACAGAATGAGCTGAAAGGTACTTATTCATTTCCCCCCTATATAAATATGTTCTTTGGCAATGACTGCTTTCCTCATTTATGTTTCCCGAGTCTTTACCAAATTCCTCGCCTCCTCCATAATATTTTTTAGGGGCAGGGTGGTGATGCGGGGGAGAAGTCTACTAATATGTTTAGCATATTCACTTGTATGAACTTCAGATAATGGAAAACTTGTTGGCATACTACTTACCACGTTCACTTTCAAAAACACAAATGTGTTCGGATAACTTACAAACAAGCCAAGGAGGCGTCAGTGCTTCTGCCCTGTCCTTCCTCCACTTGGAATACCGTCCTTTTCTCTCATTCTCCCGTGGGGATCCTCTCAGGTTTCTGTTTTTTGAGCCTATTTTCAAATGTTGCCGCAAGTCAAAAGTCTTTCTTTCTCTTACCTTTCCCCATCACCCCCTCTCCCCAACCCCCATGCTACTTTGTGCCTCCCCTGTGGCCTTTAGATAGACTAATATTTGGCTCAAATCTTAATCCTACCCCAAGCATGACAGTGGCAGAAATCTTATCATTTGTATAAACGCTGCAGCTTTAAAAAAAAAAAAAAAAGAACTATTGAACAACGAATTAAGTGGACACCTTTTTAGGATGAGTTATGAATGGGAAGCAGATGCAATACTTTTTTTGTTGTTGTTAATCCTCACCCTAGGATATTTTCTCCATCGATTTTTTCTTTTTTTTAGAGAGAGAATGGAAGGGAGGGGGAAGAGTCAGACAGAGAGAAACATGAATGGGAAAAAGACACATGGACTGGCTGCCTCCAGCATGAGCCCTGGACCCGCCAGGATCAAGGCTGAGCCTGAAACCAAGGTCAGAGCCCTTGACTGGAATCAAACGCCGCCCTTCCGCCCGCAGGCAGAGGCTCTAACCACTGAGCCCCGGCCAGAGCAGATCCAACACCTACAATAGGGAGACAGCAGAACCCCTGACCGGCTGCCTCCTGCACGCCCCCTACTGGGGATCCACCCCACAACCCAGGCCACGCCGGCTGGGCGACACTTTGCAAAATGAACATCTGAAAGCTTTTAAAAAGATAAAAATGAATTATAACAACTTATTAGAATTCTCTATTCCGGTTAACTCGACCTGGCACTCTTATCCTGTTACCATTGTTCCTGCCGGGCACTCGGCCTGACGGGAACTGTCCGCTGCTCAGTGTCAGCGGCGCTGGCACCTACCGGACGCGGAACAGGTGCTGACTGGCGTGGCGACGTGTCAGGAGAGGACGTTAAGACAAAAGGAAAAAAAAAAATAAAGACGGTACTGATTAAATTAGCCTGTATTTCAGGTATTTGCATTGAAAATGTGGGTGGGAGAACGGCCTGTCTTTGCAAAATTCCAACTGCTGCCTCCGGGGAAAGTCCGAGTTGAGGGACCTGGGACTCCACTCCCGACGGCGCCGGTCCGGCCGGGAAACGGACGCCGGGCTCTCCGGCTGCGCTTCCCGCGCCATCACAGGCCCCGTCCCCGTCTGCCACATTGGAGGTGTTTGCAAGGCACCTACTCAATCCCTGTTTGCGCGGGACAACGGGTTCAGGGGACAATTCAGCGTTAATAAAAGTAAATAAAAGAACTTCATGTAGGACCAGCTACACTGAGAAACCTTTCTTTTCTCTCATCCTCCCATGTAACCTTCCGCCAGAAGCGGCCTCCTGGCGGAAGGTTACACTTCACTAACGATCGCGGGGAGCGTGCAACCTGCCATGTGCTTAGAAGTCGCGAAAACGTGTTGGCTCGTGTCACGCACACGGGTGGCGATCGCCCACGGGACGGCACGCTCACGGACGTTCAGAGGGACCGTCGGGCGAACCGAGAGCGTTCCCACTAAGGAAGGCACAGCTGCGCGGGCGGGCAGAAGTCACATACGACGAGGTAAGGGTTAAAACGGGTGTTCTGAGCGAGTCAGAGAACCACGGGTCTTGGTCTCACAAGGCCGAGCCCACATGCGCGCCTGGCCCCCCTCGCGCTCCGTAGAATGTGCTCCTGGGCCTCCGCAGGCCCCGCCCCGGCGGGGAAGATCGATGTGAGGCTGCCCGTGTTGCTGCCTGTCTCGCGTCCCAGTGATGGGCGGAGCAGCAGCGTCCTAGTCTCAGAGCTCATCAATCCGGAAACAGGAATTCTCCAGGCCCGGCACCACCAGAGTCACCTCTTTCAAAGACCGCAGTGCGCATGCGCACAGGGGTCCTGGGCAGCCCTTAAATACCGTCAAGCGGGCGCACACGGTCTCTTTCCCTGCCGCCGCGGAGTTGCGCGGAGGCGGAGGCTTGGGGTGAGTTGAGCGAGGCGAGGGTGGATTATGGTGCACGATTAGGCTTTTTTTTTTTTTTTTTGCTGGGTTTGGCGAGAAGTAGCAGGGCCTAAACAATCCTTTAGTTAACCGATGTCCTTTTCTTTTTCTGTCTTGTGTTACAGTGCGTTCAAGATTCGGCTCCACCCATAACCCACCGCCATGGCCGAGGAAGGGTGAGCCCGGGCCGGGAAGGTGGTGCGGGAAGGCGCAGGGCGCGGGCTCTGGGTCCGTCCTGGCGCCTTAAGCGTGCCTGGCCGGTGACTGCTGAGTCCCAGGCGTTAGGCGGTGTGCGGGGAATTGACTGACCGTCCTGGTTTGTTGCATTGCAGCATTGCTGCTGGAGGTGTAATGGACGTTAATACTGCTTTGCAAGAGGTGCTGAAGACCGCCCTCATCCACGATGGCCTCGCGCGCGGAATTCGCGAAGCTGCCAAAGCCTTAGACAAGTACGTGTCTCGGTCTCAATAACTGTGGGTTGGAACTGGAACAAAACTGCAGCCGAGGGAAGAAAGCGTGGAGTTCACGGTGTTAGCACAAAAGTTCTGAATGGCATCCGTTCCACAGGAAACCTAGGAAAAGGTACCAAACTCATGCTTACATGGCCCACTTAGTCTGGGTTTCTGTTTGGAGTGGGGATGAACACTTGGTTCGTAAAGTGAAACTACAGTTTTGAATGATGACTTAAATTGTCGGATACCCCTTCACTCCTTTCATGAGTGAAACGTAACAGTCTGAAACCTGTAGTTGTGGGGCTAACATAGCTCAGTGGTAGACCAGGAGGTCATAGTTTGATTCCCAGTAAGGGCACATGCCCGGGTTGCGGGTTCGATCTCCACTGTGCTGCATGCATAAGGCAGCCGATCAATGATTCTCTGTCATCATTGATGTTTCTATCTCTCTCTCCCTTCTCCTTGCCTCTCTGAAATCTATAAAAATCTTTTTTAAAAAACTAGTTTGGGGCCAATTCTGTAATTATTATCTGGTTCTGTTGCTGAGGGGGAATGCTGAAGGGAAATTATTGGCTGCCCTCAAATATCTGAGCTCACTGAGGAACTCAGCATGTACAGTAGAGTTAGAGGGGATTGAAGAAACTCACAAACACAAACCACCTCTGGTTTTAAATTCATTTAGACCAGTGGTCAGCAAACTCATTAGTCAACAGAGCCAAATATCACAGTACACGATGAAATTTCTTTTGAGAGCCAAATTTTTTAAA